TAAATATGCTAATTTTACAAACACTGAATGATCATGACGTTGATTGGCTGATAAATATAGCATGCTGCTAGTTTGAATATGCTAATTTTACAAACACTGAATGACCATGACGTTGATTGGCTGATAAATACAGCATGCTGCTAATCTAAATATGCTAATTTTTACAAACAATGAATGACCATGACGTTGATTGGCTGATAAATATAGCAAGCTGCTAATCTTAATATGCTAATTTTACAAATAATTAATGACCATGATGTTGATTGACTGATAAATATATCATGCTGCTAATCTGATTATGCTAATTTTACAAACAATGAATGATCATGACGTTGATTGGCTGATAAATATAGCATGCTGCTAATCTGATTATGCTAATTTTACAAACACTGAATGAACATGATGTTGATTGGCTGATAAATACAGCATGCTGCTAATTTGAATATGCTAATTTTACAAACAATGAATGATCATGACGTTGATTGGCTGATAAATATAGCATGCTGCTAATCTGATTATGCTAATTTTACAAACACTGAATGAACATGATGTTGATTGGCTGATAAATACAGCATGCTGCTAATTTGAATATGCTAATTTTACAAACAATGAATGATCATGACGTTGATTGGCTGATAAATACAGCAAGCTGCTAATCTGATTATGCTAATTTTACAAACACTGAATGACCATGACGCTGATTGACTGATAAATATAGCATGCTGCTCATCTGAATATGTTAATTTTACAAAATGAATCATGTCTTTAATGGGGAGGGGTTGTGTATGGTATACAAAATGAATCATGTCTTTAATGGGGAGGGGTTGTGTATGGTATACAAAATCATAACTTAATTTTTTGAAAGTTTACAGATCGCATCAACAGAAGTTGTTTCAATTGACATTAATAAGCATTATGCCATGTGAATTATTCATGAAGGCATCCGATTTGAATTTACATAACCTATGTTTGAGGTAGGCATGAGATTTGAGAATGACACTTGGACAAGAAATTAGTACTCCTACAATACCTTAAACAATAATTTGTCCAAGTAGTTAAAAAAAAGGGTATGGGGACATGTACTGTGAAATACTTTATTTTAGCTGGAATTAATTTTTGCTGAAAAAGCTTATTGTGTGTTTTGTATGGAATTTATTTTCACTGATTTTTGACGAGTTGAATGTGAGACAGGAAAAAAAGTATATTCGCTGGATTTCATTTTCACTGAAAATAGCAAAAATAAATTCCAAGCAAAAATAAAGTATTCTACAGTAATCTCATGCTCTCCATGTGTATGCATCAATTGAATATATTTAACCAATATCATCCCAGATTGCAGTGCATGAAATATCATATTCAAAAATGCATGTATATAATAATTACATGTCAAGCAAATCATTTTGTGATCATCTTCCAACTTGTGTGACTTCTTTAAGTTTCACAAGATCTTCATCGTATATTCATTTGCATACCCTCCATATGAATCCTTGATGTGGCTATCTATATATTACTGTACTTACATCTGTACTTACATACTCGTATATTTTTTTAAAGTGGTACCTTGAATCCATGAGCCGTGTGTAATATCTTCAATGTATCATATTTATATTTTCTTACAGGAGGAGGAATACCTGGTTTAACTTCAATTTCTTGATTAAAAAAAAAAATACACACACTATTTAATAATATCAATTAATACTATTAATATTTTAGGTTATAATGTCTGATGTGTTTGTGAAAGTTTGAACTCGATCGGCCCAGATATGTGAATCAAGAACTGCACTCTTTGGAACAAAATGGCTGCCAGTTCGCCATTTAGAGCATGACAAATAAAATGATGTACAACAAAATATCATTTATGTTCACCGAAACATGTATGTACCAAGTTTGAACAGAATCATCTGTTCATGCATAACTGCTATTTTGCTGGATTTGTTCTCTACATTCAAAATTTGGTGACAAAATTTCAAGTGAAATTTTTCATTTCAAGTTTTTTGGTTAAGAAAGATGCCTCATATTTCACTAGTATAATGTGAATATTATATTTCTGTTGTATTAAAAAGTTTTTCCCTTATCTTAGCAATATTTTTTGATATTGTGTACATCTTTGATTGCTAATTTGTGTACTTATTAGCTAATCTATCTGCTGTGAGTGTTATTGCATCTACTTATATCCTAAAGAGGTATATTGTTCCTCAATCTTAATTAGTTAAATTGTTCTTTATTTGTTTCACATCCAGTCCTGCAGAATATAATGATTTCTGTCTTTTCTACATTTACATGTACTCGTATGCCCGACTGTTAGTACTCATACATTTGAAATTTGTAGTTCTTCAACTGTTGATCATAGAAGTGAAATGTTATATGCATATAGTACACATGTTACTAATTTTCCAAAAAAGTTCTGGTGTTGTTGTTTTACAACTTTAAGTTCTATGATGAGATCGTTTATAAATGTGCAAAAAACTGCTGAATAGAGAAGGGCTAAATGGGCTTCCTTGTTTTACTTCATTCTCAATTTTGAATTTGTCATTTAAATTTGATGGTAAAGTTCATATTTTTATACATATTCTTTATTATATTGTATACTTTTTTGTAAATTATTATTCAGTAGTTTATAATATTTTGACTAAGGGGGTCAAACATTTGAAATCATTGGAGTGTGTGTGGGACTAACCTTTGTCAATCAAACGCATAAACTCTCTGGCAGTCAATGTTCCAGAAACATTTTGCAAAACGATTGGCTTGATATTTCTATGTTGAAAAGATCGGATGAGACGAACAGTTAATGTTAGCCCTACTTGTTTCACTGATTTATCTGTAGTCATGGCGACAAAATGAACTAGGTGCACCTATTTCTCAGGTGAAAAATCCATCACAAAGCTAATAAATATGCCATCGACCAACCGAACATCGACCTGTTTGCGATTTAAACATATTTTGCGACATATGGCTCAACCACTGTGTATAGGGGTGGTAACTTAATGATAACCCAGATTCTCCATTTTTGTTATGGTGAAAGTGATATTAAAACAATTATACAGCCACCAAAGCCATGTGATCACTAAAATAATATGCTTTTTCAGTGATTTTAATTTGCAAAATAATAAGTATTAGCACAGTAGTATTGTAGACCACTTACCATAAATATGTAAATTACCCTCGCGAAAAAGTTCGCTATTCTAGGGTCAAAATGGCGACTCCGGGTTACAACATGGCGGCACTCTCCCATTCTAGATCTTTTCCGCCTAATCAAATGCCACAAATGAGACATTTTCCACCAGCAGGATTTCCGGTAAGTTTATTGTTTTGTACAATTATTGTTCATCTCTGGATTTTGTATGTTTTTCGTCAAATTATGACGACCATTGTCACACAAGACGAGTCCTTTTTGGGACTTGGTTTGAAATACAATAACATAACAAAGGATTTTTCGCGAAAATGGGAGATTGATAAAACATAAATTTAGACTACCCACTTCCAAGAAATGGACATAGTTTAAATAATAGAATTTGCTTCTCTGATTTGTTATTTTTGTCAATATGTTTAACTTTCCCCGCTTTATTTGTGTGCGGGCAAAATGTCCACTTGCATCATGGGTAAAACAGACATACCCGGTACATGTACTACTAAATATTGTTATTGTCATACTAAAAAAGCATTGATACATGTATGAAGTTTATCTTCAAATTTCAATGTGATATTGTTTTATCTTGTTTTCTAAGGTCTATATCGTTTTATATGTTCGCATTTAATCAGACAATAAAAATGCTTGGTTACATTCTTATAATGTTATTTCATAGACCCTCTCCTAGCCTGACCCTGAGGGTGCAATTCGCATGACCTTGCCAGGCTAGCCTTCTTCATACAAGTTTTGATTTTCCTCATTAACCATATAAATTTATTCCAATATCACGAAGAAAGTGGTAGTCACACATTTGTTTCAGTTCATTTTTTAGGAAATTAGCATAATCAGAACTATAATGTGTACATTGTACTACATTTATCAAGGCCATGGTTTCCCACTGACCATATGAGAAAAATCGTGGCAATTTTTTTCCAGAGTAGTATGGAGTGGGCCAAAGGATCCATGAAATAAAAGAAAAGTAACCAGGCTAAGATCAGGCTAACCTTCACCTTAAAATTAATGTTAATTTTCTACCCCAGACTATTCGTCTTGATGTTATTGTTATCAACCACACAACTCATCCTATTTTAGCACAAAACATAGTCATGTCATACTTGTAACCCCAATGGTACACTGGGTAAAATTTGGAACTATTTTTCTCAGTCGAGCCTTGTGTGGGTAATAGTAATAATATAGAAACAATATGATCTGGGGTACAAATTTTCTGACTTATAATGTCAACTAACTTTTTATGAAAGTCTTCAGAAGAAAATTCAGCAGTGGTTCTGTCAGTACGTAATTAAACTTTGAGTTGATTGCTTAATTCTCTTGATGACTACTACCACAGGGACTCCAGGAACTATAATAAACTGTACCTCTAGTGTATTGAGGTGTGGGTATCGGCTGGTATCTAGTGTATTAAAATCAGCCTATAAGGACTCCAGCAATCCCACAAACAGGCGAAAGAAAAGCTGATTCACTAGGTGTACAATTTATTATAATTTATGGGCTCCCTGTGCTTACATACATGCGATAATACATATTCATGTGCCTGCACAAATATAGTTATGTAAAATAAAAATAGTTTTTCTGTCATATTGAAAAGCTTAAGAGAGTTAGACAATGTATGCAATGAATTTGTGTCAGTGCGAGTGCACACCTATGCATATTTTAAGTACGCGACTAACAGTGCTGGTTTAGTTTAGAACAGTATTGTTCCCGACGTTACTATCTCTGACAATACCTTTGATGTTCAATGTATTCAAACATAGAGTATACTGAAGAACATATAAAAAAATCACGACACAGTGTTCTCCCCAGAAGATTGTCTCAGGGTTGCAGCTAATTTGCATATGTATCTACATACTAATTAACATAATTTGCAGTTATATTTTTAAAGAAAAATGATTTACTGCGTACACTGTTGCCCATTAATGGGATATATTACTAAAAATATATTATTTAATTGGTAACAATAATATACAATTCACATCTAGAGTTTTGAATACAAAATCATTATAACTATGAAATCATCATTCAAATTGAGGTGTTCGTCATGTAAATTTGACCTCTCTCACCCAATGCCTTGTTTTACTGCTCCTTTACTGTCATCACAAGAGTAATGCATTGAGCAATGTTGCAATTTACATCGCGGTTTTGCTAACAATATTGCTATACAATGGAACCAGCTTTTGAAGTCCTTTTATTTTGCAGATTTCAGATCACATGGATTTTTTCCTTTTTCCACAAACTGTTGCAAATGTACACCCAACCCACGCAATGCAATCTAAATTATTTACTGAAAAGGCTATTCCATCGCTTTCTTGCATACAGACTAAGTAATACATGCTGTAATTATAACATGTGTACGGTAAATGCTTACACTTATGAGTAGTTTAGAGGCACTCATAGTCTGGAATAACTGAAACATCATTTTAGCCTGATTAATTGATAAGCAATACTGATCGATGTATAGCAATGTTGCTATATAAATGGAACTTTGCCCAGCGGCTTATGTCTTGATGACAGTAATAGCTTCGTGCATGTGTTGATAATTTGCATACCACAGTAACAGTAAAACAACATGACCGCCTTCAGGAACTAATCATTTTAGTCTGTTATTTTTTTTTCAAATGTATTCCTGACCTAATCATTAAGTAAATGAACAACTGATTATAAAAATGTGTCTCTGGTGACAGGGATTTGATTGACTAATAAACCTCCTTTGTTGTGTCTAGTTGTCGTTTTTCGTAAAATCTAATTCCTGATAATCCTAGCCTAGTCTATTGTGTTGTCATGTTTATTTACTTTCAACTTTGAACCCAACACAAACTAACTTCACACTTCTTTTCAGTCTTTTGTGTTTTTTGTTTGTTTAACATGTTATTAATTATAGAACATTGACAATAAAACTCAATAATTAGATTAGTCGTGGTAGGATGTCTTTAGAGTAGTGGTCAACCAGTCAAAGTTGCATGCAAGCTGTATTGGCATAAATCAGAGTAGCAGCTCCGCTACCTAAAACGCTTCTGGGGAGAACACTGCAAGTTTATTTGATATCATGGGTCACGAATATTCTGTTATCAGATGTCTGCATTTTGCTGCTACAATGTATCGCACCAACAGAAACTAACATCAGAATCGCAATTTGTGTGTGCGTGCACTGAGCTTCTTTGCACATAACATCTCATTTGCATACAGAAATGCTATTTCTACGATGAACTTGCAGCCAATTTATCACCTGTGGTTAAACAAATAATTTATTTGCGGAACCATCAGTGTATTTACGATTATGCTTGTACCGGTAGATACACATTGCCAACATTTTTACTAAATTTTGAGGTAGTTCTTTTTGTGGTCTTCAACAGTAAGTCAGCAAGCAGTAGTGGCTGTACAGTGGAAAAATGAATCCTCTACGTTACCAAGATAAGGTTGGGAGAATTAGAAATGCAATTTGATTATGACAAGATGTGACTTTAAAACCAAAAATGTTGTTTGATAAATGCCTGAAACTATCAGTACATTTATTTAACAAAAATATTAAGTTTGATCATATTTCAAACAATTATCACTAAAATAAATTGTATAACATCGATTTAGTCTTATTAATTGATAAGCAATGCGGATTGATGTATAGCAACGTTGCGATATAACATTGCCCTGTGAATTATTCCTTGATGACAGTAACAAAAATATTAAGTTTGATCATATTTCCAACAATTTTCACTAAAATAAATTGTGCAGTCTTTCCATATTTTGGAGTTGTAAAACTAAGAGGTACAATGTGACCAGTTGGTGTGTTTCTTCGTTCAAGGACTACCGGTAATTGGATTTGCTGAGCAGGGTGTGTGATATGGAAACAAATATTACACGACAACGTCACTGATACTGCATGATACACGTGATAAATTCTGTTTTTTTAATAGCTAACCTTGTGATATAATCTTTAGAGGCCATCAATACATTTAGATTTCCAGAGACACTCAGACATATTAATAAAGTTAACCTGTCATTAACCCCTATGGAATGTTGCCAAGTGGTACATAGGGGAATTGAAGCAGAGGCAATTTTTGATTGGAGATAAATTTAAACTGTGAGCCAAAATAATGCCAATTGGTTTAGAAACTGGATCACACTTGCCTCGTACATGTATGCTTTGATATTACTTTCCATATTATGCATCTCTGACAATATTTTAACTGCACAATGTAAAAAAAAGGATAACTACCAAGTGACCCATGCTATCAAATTTATTAAACGAGTGTACATGTACAGTAGTGAAGAAGACATAAATTATGACAGGTTTAATAAATCTGATGTCACAAATCTTCTGTTATCACATGTATAAATTTGCAGCTATTGTATCTACCAAAACTCGCATCAGAATTATATTGTATGTGTGCGTACACATACCCTGAGCCCTATTGCACATTACATTCATTTGCATACTGAAACACTGCTCCTTGGATGTATTTCTGGACAGTTTATCCCTTGCGGTTACCGGAAAACAAATACTGATACATGTACTAACTCTGCATGATACATGTGACAAATTCAAGTCTTTTGTTAAGACATAATCTTATTACGGGGAACTTTATCTTTGTTATGTAGGTCATTTATTTTCAGAGACACAAAGTACATGTTACCTATTTACCACATGTTGATAAATGGTACACTGGAATTAAAGCCTGAGATAAATTCAAACTGTTAACTTGAAGCTAATTGGTTTAGAAACTGAATGTTGGATGATGCCTGAAACTACCAGATTTATAAAAAAAAAATAGATCATTGAATATTGTCTTAAAAATGAGCTATGTTTTTGGAGGTTTTGGTCACAAGTCAAGTTCAAAAGTTAAAAGTGTCATGCAAAGTACAATCGGGTAGAGTGAGAGATATCAAAACATGTTCAATAATGGAATTTGTGTGATAGTGTGTAAATGTAAAAAACAAAACAAAATAAAATCTAAATATGGCTAATAAGCGGAAAGCATGTCATTTCTGAAATTTGTATTTCAAATTTTCTTCAATCATACCTTAAAAGCGAATCTCCAATAGAAGTGCATATAAACCAACAATTGCATGTGTTGTATATGGAGTAATATAAATAATGTATGATGTTTTTGACCCATAGAAACATGCCTGTAATGTATGCAAGTGCACATTTCTAA